CAGATCTGTGCTGGAGGAAGTGCATCAGAAATGCTCCTTGGAAGCAAGAATGGCCAGACTTCGTCTCACCTATTTTGGTCATGTTGTCAGAAGGAACCATTCCTTGGAGAAGGATGTCATGCTTGGTGGGGTGGAGGGTCGATGAAAGAGGTGGAGGCCTTCAACAAGATGGATTGACACGGTGGCTGGGATGATGGGCTCAGGTATAGCAGGGATCGTGGAGCTGGCGCGGGATCGGGCAGTGTTTGGTTCTGCTGTGCATGGGGTCACTGTGAGTCAGAAACGATTCGACGGCACCTAACAACAACAGCAACAACAATGAGTAGATGCTATTTCATACGACTGGATGAGAGCACCTAGATAGCAAGGATAGATAAAAGTCCAAACACTGAGCCCTGGGCCTTGAAGCAGAGAAGTCGGGGAGAAGAGGAGACCGAAAGAATGGCCAGTGGAGCAGGAGGAAAACTAGAATAGTTCATTTCACAGTATTTCTGGAGCTCTAAGTGGTACCAAAGGAGCTCTGGTGGCAGAGTGCCTAAGGCATTTGACTGCTAACAAGAAGGATGGTGGTTCAACCCCAGCAGCCACTCTACGGAAGGAAGACTGGGCTATCTACTTCCGTAAAGATTTTTCACCTCAGCAACCCAAAGGGGGTCGCTGTGAGTCGGAATCAACTCGGTGGCATTGAGTTTGGTTTTTGGTTTGTAAGTGGTACCAGGCACCGGTGTAGGTTCTTAGATTGTAAAAATTGAAGTGCCACCCTCTGAGACAAAGATCTTAGGATAAAGCAGATTTAAGGGAAAAATTAATGAGTTTGACTTTAGACATACTGCGTTGTAGGTGCCCATGGGGTAGCTCACAGAAAATTGCAAATTTTGGTCTGGACTCCTGGGATTACTTGTCTTTATGAATATATTTGATTAATCCTTAGTAAATGGCCACATTCAGAATCATAAATACAGCCTTGGGAAGGTGACAGTGATATCTGAAAAAGTCTAAAATATTAACAAAAAATCTGTGACACAGGCTGGCTACTGCCTATATTTAGTTTCTCTGCAGGGTTCCTGGCTCATAATGTGGTCTCTTTACTGACAGATCTTTTGAAGTTGCAAGTTAATGTTTATTAGAAACAGAGTTTATAACATCTAAAGATTCTGAATAAGATTTTATATTGTGTGTAAACATTCTGAATAAGATTTTATTAGGAAGGAGAGTATATTAATATGATGCATTACACTGTGTTAGTTTCTTTTCATAGTTACTAGGTTGTACGACTTTATTTATAAAGTTTCATTGACTTTCACAAAAAGCATGAAGGAAACTTTTGTCTTGTAGCACTGATTTTCCGTACACACGAGTGTCCTCTTGCAGATGATTGTTACAGTACATTTCTTTCTTTCTTCTGTTGTCATTTCAGCCATTATATGATGCCGCTTACCTTACAATGTACAATATCTGCTTCACCTCTTTACCCATCCTGGCCTACAGTCTACTGGAACAGCACATCAACATTGACACTCTGACCTCTGACCCCCGATTGTATATGTAAGTAGAAAATAGAATCAAAACCCCCTCCGACTTTCAAAGTTGTTGGTTTCATTTCATCTGGAGGTGGGAAAGACAAAGAGCTGCCCGCCTGGCTTGATTATGCATTTCCATTACTAATTTTTAGCTTCTGAAACCAGAGCATTCAGCAGGAAGATGACACAACACACTCTTCTTGGTATGACTCCTCTGTTTGAATCACTCATTGCTAAAACTTGAAACTACACTGTCATACTGTTCTGATGGTCTTGCAGGGAAACACAGTATTTTAACTGCCAAAAATACCACAGCTTTTTGGTAGCTTAGAATATGGCTCCCTACCTGTAATGAATCGACTTGATCAGGTGTTGCCACCCTTTCTTTTTATAAACTGCCCATGAAGCAGAGGCCCTGTTTGTTAGCCCCATTCTAAAATCATTTTTGTTGAAGAGAACAAAATTATCAAGACAAAGAAAGGCATATTGTATTCATCTGGTGTTGCTTGGAAGTAGATGCTTTGCTTTGTGGACAGGGAGCTTGGTAGTAGCCCCAGTTGCTAAGCTGTGATTTAATTTGAATTGTTATAAATTAAGCCTACAGCTAAGGAGGAACATGTTAATCTATGGCATAAATGGTGGCCAGTAATTGCAGGTGAGAGGCTAGGGCGATTTGTTTGTATGGAAGGAAGATGTACAAACTTAAGGGACTTCTTCAACCCATACGACTCATAAAACTTAATGTTAGTAATTGTTAGAAGTGTAGAGATTTGTAAAATTTATCATTTTTAAGCTCTTTATTATGGCAAAAATTTCAAACTTATGCAAAAGTAGAGCAAGTAGTATTAATTGTAAGGAGTACCCCTGTACTCACAATTCAGTCTCAACAGTGATCAGCTGATGGCAGGTCCTATTTCATTAATAACCCCATAAATCTCAAACATTCTACAAAATACTTATTTCAGTATATATCTCTTAAAGAAAAAGATTTAAAAATGTAAGTGTCCTATCACACCAAAAAACTTACCTATTCCTTAATATCAGTCATCAAAGATCCAGTCAGTGTTTAAATTCCCAAATGACCTTTTTTTAAATTCTTTTTAAGTTGGCAGCTTTGTTTGAATCAGGATCTAAATAAGGTGTATATATTACCATTGGATTGCAATTGGTTTGTATGCTTTTGAAGTATCTTCTAATTTTGAGGCTCTTTATTATTTTTAAGTGGGAATGATCCTGACACTTATCTCATGTAGTGTTTGTGCAGATGAAAAGAGATAATGCACACGGGTCTCTTAACCCAGTTCCTGGCATATAAGGATGTTATTGTGGCCAGGGGCCAGGATTTGACTTTAGCATCTTTTTTTGACAGTTCATTTCCTCCAATGTCAGGATGTGGTTGCATAAAGATAAGTCTGTGGCTCAGTCCTCTTCATCTTAACAGGGTCCACTTTGCTCAACTTTGGCATTTCACCTTTGGCGTTATCTACAAATATCGATTAACCTGCATTGTTTTTATTCCCTATTTCTCAATAGGAAAATCACTGGCAATGCCATGTTACAGTTGGGCCCCTTCTTATATTGGACATTTCTGGCTGCCTTTGAAGGGACTGTATTCTTCTTTGGGACTTATTTTCTTTTTCAGACTTCATCCCTAGAAGACAACGGAAAGGTAAACAGAACATGTCATTACATCTTTCAGTATTATAAGCAGGATTTCTTTTTCTATAGATACTGTATTTATCATGCACATACTAGCAGTAAGGAGCTCTGGTAGCGTAGTGCCTAAGGCACTTGACTGCTAACCAGAAGACTGGCGGTTCAAACCCATTGGCCACTCCTCGGAAGGAAGATGGGGCAATCTACTTCCGTAGTGATACTGCCTCGGAAACCGAAGGAGGGGTCACTATGAGTCGGGTCTGAGTTGATGGCACATAACAACAACAACATACTAGCAGTAATCATTTGGCAAACTATTTTTCTTAAGATACGGCATTGAATTTTCGCAAATTCTTTAGGACAATAGAAACGCTGAAGGACGAAATAACCTCCCATGTGCATGGCTGACTATTGCGTGTGTGTACAAACCTTTTGGAAGGTTAACTCAACTGTAGTTTTTACTAGATGAATAGACTTACTGGGATTTCAGACTTTGAAGTCTTCTGTGTTTGGCTTTAAAATAGGGAAAAGCCTTTCTCACATAAAAGCCTGGCCCCACTCAGTTCTATTCCTTGTAATCTTCCATGCTCAGGGTTGAGGGTGGTACCTAATAGATGAAGGTACCTAATAGATGAAGAGAAGGAATTCTTTTCTCTCCCTCCTTGCCTCTTCAAAAAGGTTGCACTGGTTGCGACTTCCCAGCAATCAACCACATCAGTCTACGCCTATATTGGAATGATTCTGTCCTTCCTGGATTATGAGAAAAGGACCTCTTGTGGCCAAATGGTTAAAGCATTCATCTGCTAACTAAAAGTTG